TTAAGCGATTCTCTTCCCTCAGCCTCCCAAGTAGCTGGGACTACAGGCAGCCGCCACAACGTGTGGCTATTTTTTGGTTGTAGTTGTTCTTGTCTGGCAGGCCCAGGACGGATTCAAACCTGCCAGCTCAGGTACATGTGTCTGGCGCCCTAGCCACTGAGTTACAGGAGCCGAGGCCAGAATGTGATCTTGCAGGGCAGATATACAGAAAGTGAACACAAGATCCCAGATAGCCAGCGCTTCCTTAAAACAAGAAGTCCTTCTAGGACTCCAAGAGTTTATCTATCGATCTCTGGAAAACAATGATAAAATGCCAAAATTAAAGCAAAGTATTTAGACTATACTACAACTCAACATTCTAAGACAGTCCATTTCTTTTTAAAAACTTGATTAATATAGTTACTTTTCTAAATTTACTATGGAACACCTAGGGAAGAGGAGAGAAGAGAACACATGAGTTCCTGGAACAGGTGAAAAATTAGCCTGTAGAAAACTTTCCTGCGGTAGGCCTTGGGCAGAAAGGCTGATACTAGGCAGAAAGGCTGAGAAAGGCTGAGAGTGCATCATGGAATTTGAGAGAATCTCATTAGCAACATGACCACTGTCTAGTGAGCCACTGTTATTTTTTTAGACACAGAGTCTCACTTTGTCGCCCTCAGTAGAGTGCCATGGCATCACAGCTCACAGCAACCTCCAGCTCGTGGGCTTAGGGGAATCTCTTGCCTCAGCCTCCAGAGTAGCTGGGACTACAGGTGCCTGCCACAATGCCTGGCTATTTTTTTGTTGCAGTTTGGCCAGGGCCAGGTTTGAACCTGCCACCCTCAGTATATGGGGCCGGCGCCCTACTCACTGAGCCACAGGCGTCACCCGAGCCACTGTTAATTTATTTATTTTTTTTGAGACAGAGTCTCACTAAGTGGAGTACCATGGCATCATAGCTCACAGAAAGCTCAAACTCTTGGGCTCAAGCGATTCTCTTGCCTCAGCCTCCCAAATAGCTGGGACTATAGGCGCCACAACGCCCAGCTAGTTTGGTTTTTTTTTTTTAAGAGATGAGGTCTCACTCTTGCTCCAGCTGGCCTCAAACCCGTGAGATCAGGCAATGCACCCACCTTAGCCTCCCAAGTGCTAGGATTACAGGCGCGAGCCACCATGCCCAGCTGCCACTATTATTTTTAAAAGAAAAGAATGAGACAGTGTTGGCTAACTATTCCTTTGCATAAGACAGAATGAAAAAGGAAGTAACTCTTTAGAATATTATTTACTCAGCAAATATCAAGTTTGTGGGTAATTATAATAAATTACGTTTGTAGAAGTATTATACTCACGTGTTCTTCAAATCCCAAACCAACAAGGGAGAAATGACCGATGTGGTAAGGGCAAAATGCTAAAAGGAGGGAAAAAATCTCAATGTAAACTTCAATATCAATACAATACAACCTCCTAGTCCAATCCCCTGCTAAAAAGAACCAGGACTTCTTTGAAAAATGGATGTCTACAGAACTGGGCCAAAAATATAGCACCTGGGGCATTCTCTATAACCAGGAAACAAGAAAGTCATAAAGGTCTAATGGGACATGTCAAATGGATGCAGAGACCATTGCGAAGAGGTGTCAGAGGCCAAAGAGACAATGACATAACCATCAAAAATGATAATTATCAAAACTGATGAAAAAACACTGAATATATACAAACCCAAGAGCTTATAATGCTCAAAAAAGGGAAAGTCTAAAATAATAACTACAAAAAGAAAAAAGCAACATCACAAAAAACACTTCCATGTTTTGAAAATAATTACCACACCAACGGAAATAGTTACTAGACCAGTTTCTTATTCTGAAAACTGATAATTAAAAGGAAAAAAATTAAGCATCTGTCCCGCTTCTCCTGGGCCAATAAATTCAGCTTAACTGAATAGTCCTAGCTAATAAACAATTTCTTCTTCTTTACAGAAAAAGCCAGCAAATAACCATAAAAAGGGATAATTTAAAAATAATTTTGCCACACAAAATAAATGATTTAGGTAAGGATCAAAGACTAATAAAACCTAAAATCACTAGATGGACTGCATATTTTTATGGCATTAAAATATTACCTAAATTACTTTCTGATGTAAAGGGAAAAATGAAATCTAAGAGTAGAGTCCCAGCTTCTATCACCTGAATCCACTGATAAAAAAATAATACAACATCATATACTTCCTCTATGTTGTATCAAAGGCCAAAGGAACCAATGAAGAAACTGTCCCAAACATAATCAAAACTGAATTTACTGGGCCCTTTGATCTGGCTTCCAGTGCACAGGAAACTCAGGAGACAAAGGATAAAAGCAGAGGACATCCAAAAAGCATTCAGATGGGTGCAGAACATGACATACTGTAAAGAACAGTTATCCTCGTCTTGACAACAATCAACGGCAAAACAGGGTGGGGGTTGAAGGAAGCAAAGAGAATATTCTAGATTCCCAAAATTTAAGATTTAACAACTAAAAGTAATGTGTAGACCTTATCTAGGATCTTCAAATAATCAAATGCAAAATGGCATCTAAGAGAACCCAGGAATTTTAAATATGATAGATTATTAGGAAATTAAATTAGAGAAATTCTGCTAATTTTATAAGGTCTGACAATGACATTATGGTTAAGTAAGACAATATCTTTAAAATCTGCACAGTAAGAATTTTTATAGTCCTCTTTACTTCAAATTTTTCTGGCCATGTTTTACTTCATTCCTAATAATACAATTTAATTACCTTTTCTTTATGTTAGAAATGATTAAATAGCATAGTATATATTAGGGAAAGGGGTGACTCCATCATTAGGACAAAACTTAGAGTGAACCTACTATGAATTCTGTAGTAAACCTCTAAACCTTTTTGACTATTCTGCGGGTAGAAATTTTTTTGGCCATGTATTTCCAATATACTTAAATTTATTTATAAACTATACACATGTATTTTTTTTTTAACTAACATATTACGTGTACTATAAAAGACAAGAAATTTAAAGGGGTAAATGTAGAATTTTGCCTATTTTCTTCTCATTCCCCATTCTGAGGATGACTCAACTAAGCCCCTAGAAAAATTAATTTTTCAAGTTTTAATGCTATTTACAAATGTAATCATCAACCTTAAACACCAATGCCAACAATTTCCATCCCATTACACAGCAACTACTAGAAAGGTATCCTGAAATTAAGATCAGTTTCTCAGAATCATTCCCTTCTACGGGGAGACCAAACTTTGTATAAAACTACCAGTAGAACAAGGCAGGCATGAAAGAGACAGGAGTGGGCTTAATCCCAACAACTAAAGGAAAATGTTCCTAAAGCAATGGTTCTCAACCTGGGAGTCGCGACCCACAGGAACTATATTAAAGGGCTGCACCATTAGGAAGGTTGAGAACCACTGTCCTGTTTAATTTCAAAAAAGCCTAACAATATAATGTGCATGAATTTATTAAGATGAAGCTTTTTCCACAGTATAAGCCTAAGAGGTTGGATTAGAAATAAATTTACTTAGATGAGATTTGATTTTTATAAATGAAAGTTCTTATTTGTGTAATTCATATTTTAAAGGTAACCTATTTCTCCAAAGCAAGCTTTTCTGCAAGAGTGAAGACTAAATTTTTTACTCTCAAGAAAAACTTGGTCTGGCTCAAGGCCAGTAGCACCGTGGTTACGGCGCCAGCCACGTACACCTAGGGTGGCAAATTCAAACCCAGCCCAGGTCAGCTAAACAACTGCAACAGAAAAAATAGCCGGGCGTTGTGGTGGGCGCCTGTAGTCCCAACTACTTGGGAGGCTAAGGCAAGAGAATCTCTTAAGCCCAGGAGTTTGAAGTTGCTATGAGCTGTGATGCCACGGTACTCTACCAAGGATGACACAATGAGAGTCTCAAAAAAAATAAAAAAAATAAAAAAAAGAAAGAAAGAAAGAAAAGAAAAACTTGGTCAAGATAAAAACAGTTTCATAGTCTCCATATGATATTATTTTACATAATGAAAAATAAATGCAGAATAATATAGATACACTCCCACATGCAAGGGCAAAACAAAGAATGAGCTTTCTATTAAATTTGCAGCATCCTGAATATCTACTGAAAATTAAAAATCAACAGAAGTTTTTCAAAATATTTTGTCACAAGATAAATTTATTTTGCTCTTTTATAGATAACAGAAATCACTGTTTTTGTCTCATCCTCAATCCAAATATTTATTCTAAGCCTTTTCAACCATGTGGTTTCACTGCTTTCCGTAGTCCCAACAGACAGCAAATAACATGGAGTCTGATTGAGGTAGCCTTGACAAATCTTAATTCCTTCTCCTCAGCAGAGCTGAGGGGTACTCACAGGTACTAAGAAAGGAATTTCTCAAAGATCATCCCTATACAAAGATGTACATTGTCTGAGGTCTCTAAGACATAAACCTAGCACACCTAACAAGAACCCTCCGTCTGTCAGACTCTGCCTCCTCTCCCTTGAGAGATGGAATGGAATTCTAAGGCACTGGTTTACTTGACTTAGTTTCCCTTATCTCTACCAAAGTAGAAAAGCCTCTGTCAACTCAGTCTCCTCAACTGTGTTTTCCTTTCTCTAATTACTCCCAGCGGGAGGAGTATTCATATGCTGTCAGGGAATACTCACAGCTGCATTTGGAAAAGTATTTGGAAGTGACTTAGCATGTGCTGGAATCTGGTTCTAAGGGGAGTTCACACATGAAGAAGATGTATACTATCTTCCTACAAGCATATATCCACCTCTGATGACAAACCAGGGTCTCTGGAAGGCCTTGGTCAGGACTTTGACCATAAAAAACAAGATCTTCCACCATTGAAGACCACACAGATAATCGGCACAAAATTAATTCTGGAGATGGGATAAACCTAGCACACCTAACAAGAAGTTTATAGTTTACTGCTGAAATAACTGTTCTTAAGTTAGTCTAAAATGAGCAAAAAGACACAGAAATGCACAAAAGGAGAAACAGGTAAGTAAGTGCAGTCAGGGTTACTTAGGAAATCTGTTCTGACTGGAGCCTTCCTATATAGGATTCCTATCTAAAACTATTTTCATATAGTCCTTAATATTCCTATACTAAAAACAAAAGCCTATAGCAAGGCTCCTAGAAAACTAAACTCCTACCACAAAACTATAAAAAATAAAGGCACAAACACAACTTACCAAAAACAAGAATGAACAGTGTATTTAAAGACACCACCCAGAAGACATGTTCCTAAAGGAAAACAGCATTAATACAGCGGTATTTGACATGTTTAATTGGACTACCTCAGTTAGTTATGTACAGCTAAATACTGAGCCATTCCCCATGCTGACACTCACTAGCCTGTCCAAGCCCATTCATCTGGATCCACAACCTTCCCCAACCATCAGGTTAAATGATCCTTCCTAGACCTTTTTAGAAAATTTTCTCTGGTCAGGTGTCTAATCTTCCACAAATCCAACTGGCAAGAAGGATGATTAGTTTGTCTAAAAGAAATGGCTGCTACATTCCCATTTATCCTTAATTTTTTCAGATTCTCTGCCCTAAGTGCTCCTAAACTCTCCCTATCCCCAACATCTTTTATGCCTGAACCTCTAAGTTATCTTTTCTAAAAATTTCCTGCTGAAAAACCCCCCATTTGCTAAAAAAGACCTGACCAAGCCCTCTTCTGTGTCACTCTTATGTCCGATGTATTACTTTTGGTCACCAAATCTCTAACACATACCTCTAAAGCTCCTTTGCTTACTCGTTCATTTCTCTCTACTTAACTATAAAGCATCTTTGACAAGAGGGACTTTATTTCATTAATCACTGTATCCTCCAGTAACTATCACAACAGCTGGCATTCAGTACATATAAAATACTGTTCACTGAAGTAATGAAATCATTGATTTTTCCAATAATTCAAATGGGCTTAAGCCTGGGCACAGTGGCTCACACCTGTAATCCTAGCACTTTGGGAGACTCAGGATTGCTTGAGCTCAGAAGTTCCAGGCCAGCCTGAGCAAGAGTGAGACCTGGTCTCTACTAAAAATAGAAAAATTAGCCAGGTGTTGTGGTATGTGCCTATAGTCCCAGCTATTCAGGAGGCTGAGGCAGGAGAATCTCAAGCCCAGGAGTTTTGAGGTTCCCATGAGCTAGGCTGACACCAGGGCACACTAGCCGAGGTAGCAGAGAGAGACTCCATCTTTTAAAAAAAAAGGGGGGGGGGGATTGAGTCAATACCACTGTCTCAACAACTTGCCATTCACGAGGAAATGAAGGGTAAAAGATAAAAATGCCTTTCTAGGCTCAGTGCCTGTGGCTCAAGCAGCTAAAAGGCACCAGCCACATACACCTGAGCTGGCAGGTTTGAATCCAGCACGGGCCCACGGGCCCACCAAACGACGACAGCTGCAACCAAAAAACAGCTGGGCGTTTGGTGGGCATCTATAGTCTCAGCTACTTGGGAGGCAGAGGCAGGAGAATCACTTGAGCCCAGAAGCTAGAGGTTGCTATGAGCAGTGATGCCATGGCACTCTACCCAGGGCGACACCTTGAGGCTCTGTCTCAAAAAAAAAAAAAAAAAAAAAGCCTTTCTACACTATGACCAAACCTTGACTAGAAGCTCTTGAGTATCACAGCTCATTAATCTCACTCCCCCTGAACACTAACAACCTCTTCTGCCTTTATCTAGAGCCAGCTGAGGAAAAGGTCAACACTGAGGACAGCAAAGGAGACAGACAAAAATTATTTAGATCTTTGATGACACTGTTGGGCCTCTATATGAAGCATTCCTTGAGCCATTCTTCCTCAGAATTTCCTGTTTTCATTTCAGCCAATAGGGGTTCTGCTGCTTGCAGCCAAAGTCATCTTGATACTCTCAGTTGTTTAAAAATTCCAAATGGCACATGATTTTATATTACAGGACCTAAAAATATTTTTCCCTTAAAGAACAAGTGCTTTTAAAAATTGCTCTTCCCTTTAGAGTTGTAATCTTTACTACCAAGGCAGAGTGCCTAAGTAAACACGTGTAGTGTTTACTAAACTGCAGAAACATAAGATTAGCTTACTATGAAAATATGCAAAACTGCTTTGCTTTCCCCATACAGGCATTAAACATTGCAATATGAAATTTTAAAAGATAATGCATATTCTTTTTAACTACAATTATCTTTGGATTTCATTTGCGTTTCTAAAAGTCAAATATTTAATGGTAATTCTTTTAAAATAGTTATTACCTTTATGCTTTTCTAAAATTTTCAATACACAAAATATACTTTCTTCAACATATGAAGTGACCAAAAGCTAATGGGTATTTGACATTTAGTATAAAAAGGCAGCACATACTGTCAATCTGAAGTTACAAAATCATTCAGACAAAATTAACTCACAATTCTGGTATTACAAAGAATTAGTTTTACTTACCAGAAAAACTAGTGATCCATCAAGTCCTAACATCTAAAATAAACAAATAATAGTATCATTACTCTCAAGAATGGAGGAAAAACTATCCAATGTACTCAGTCTTACTATAAAACCAATTTATAGCTTTCATAAGCTATATGAAACTTTCTTATGAAAGCTATAACCCAATTATAGCCCAAGAAGAAGGGGAAAGGGGAGTGGGAGGGGAGTGGAGGGAGAGTAATGGGTGAGACCACACCTATGGTGCACCTTACAAGGGTACATGTGAAATTTACTACATAAATGTCTTAACACAATAACTAAGAAAATGCTGTGAAGGCTATGTTGACCAGTTTGATGAAAGCATTTCAAATTGTATGTAAAACCAGCACATTGTACCCTGTGATTGCATTAATGTACACAGCTATGATTTAATAAAAAATAATAAATAGTGAAAAAAAATTATCATTACTCTAAAATCCAACAGGATTTTCTATTCTAATTTTCCTTTCAGTATCTTTAAACAGTCCTCACCAGCTATTTTCCAATACTATCATTTTCAAACTAAAAAAATTACTGTTTATGAGAATGCTGTTTCCACTTATTCCAAATCACATGATTAGATAGTCTAAAAAAATTCCATCTTGGGTTTAATTCTTGCATAAGATAGAAACTTTTTATCTTATCTATCTTCTGTAATAATACAGAATACATAACTGTATTATTTTACCAACTGAATCATAAAAAATGCTACTTAAATTTAAATTGTTCCTTCATTTTTCAGAAGTCCACAATTTCAGGTAAAATATTCCTTAAACAGAGTAAGGTTTCTATCAAAGGCAAAAAGAGAGAAAAACACCCAGGCAAAGTGGCTCACACTTGTGATCCTACCATTCTGGGAGGCTGAACAGGGTGGCCTGCCTGACATCAGAATTTTCAGACCAGCCTGAGCAAGAGTGAGACCCCGTCTCTAAAAACAGCCAGGTGGGCTCACTGCCCACAGCACAATGGTTACAGCGCCAGCCACGTACACCAAGGCTGGTGGGTTCTAACCCAGCCCAGGCCAGCTAAACAACAATGACAACTGCAACAAAAACATAGCTAGGCATTGTGATGGGCACCTGTAGTCCCAGCTACTTGGGAGGCTGAAGCAAGAGGATTGCTTAAGCCCAGGAGTTGGAGTTGCTGTGAGCTGTGACACCACAGCACTCTACCAAGGGCGACATAATGAGACTGTTTCAAAAAGAAATAAATAAAATAGAAACAGATGGGTGTTTTGGTGGGAATCTGTAGTCCCACCTACTTGGGAGGCTGAGGCAAGAGAATTGCTTGAGCCCAAGAGTTTGAGATTGCTGTGGGTTATGATGCCATGGCACTATACCAAGAGGAATAAAGCAAGACTCTGTAAAAAAGAAAAAGAAATTTGTTCACAGGGCAGTCACAAGTTTTGTGTGCCCCTCACAATGATCCTGTTAAAATGTATGTGGTGGGTGCATGGGTGATCACTGCAATTTTTTTAACTGTACTATATGTTTGAAAAATTGTCTTGTAAAATTTTCAGAAAATTAAAAACAAAAAAAGAGAGAGAGAAACAGCCATCAGTGCTGGAATATTTTCAACACAAGCAGTACATCACTTAATTTTTTCTAGAAATTAAAATTCTGAGGCTGGGTGCAGCGGCTCATGTCAGTAATCCTAGCACTCTGGGAGGGCCAAGTGGGTGAACTGCCTGGGCTCAAGTGTTCAAGACCAGCCCAAGCAAGAGCAAGACCCTATCTCTAAAAATAACCAGGCACTGTGACAGGCTCCTATAGGCCCAGCTACTTGGGAGGCTGAGGAAAGAGAATCGCTTGAACCTCAGAGTTTGAGGGTAACAAAGTGAGACTCTGTTCAAAAAAGTAAAACAAAATTCTGATAACTGTTTTCATCAAATGTAACTACAAAATTAGTTTATGTATCTAAATATGCCCAACTTAAAGTATATTTTAGTCTTAAAACACCAGAAAGCTTGATAAAGAAAGGTCTTACTCACTCTTTCCCATGTAAGCTCTTCTGCAGCTCGGTCCCATTCTAACGCATTCCAGTTCATGTCATCTGGAAATAAAATTGCAATTTAAAGATTGCTGATGGAACGTACCTAAAAATAGTAAAACACACTTTTTTAATTTAGTACTTTGTAAGCTGTTGTTGTGAAGCTAAACTACACTACAAAATTTTCCACACTGAGTATCTGCTTTTTAGGCAACAACTATAGTACATAACATATATATAAATAAATAATACATGTAAGATGATACTAGGTTGAGATAAGTACTGAAAAGGAAATAAACAGGGTTATATGAAAAAGAGAAATTCAATAGGTCTGAATCAGGAATGAATCTAGAGCTTTAAGAAAAGTCAGGAAGCCAGGGACTAGCATTCTCTGATAATTAGAATAGTATGAAAGGGGCTTGGCGCCCATAGTTCAGTGGTTGGGGCACTGGCCACATACACCGTGGCTGGTGGGTTACAGCCCAGTCCTACTAAACAACAATGACAACTGAAACAAAAAAAAAATAGCCGGGCGTTGTGACAGGTGCCTATAGTCCCAGCTACTTGGGAAGCTGAGGCAAGAGAATTGCTTAAGCCCAAGAGTCTGAAGTTGCTGTGAGCTATGACACCACAGCACTCTACCAAGGGCAACAGTGAGACCCTGTCTCAAAAAAAAAAAAAATATGAAAGGCAGACAGGGATCAAGTCATATAAGATAAATGTGGAGTTTGGCTTTTATTTACTTTCTTTTTTTTTTTTTTGAGACAGAGCCTCAAGCTGTCACCCTGGGTAGAGTGTTATGGCATCACAGCTCACAGCAACCTCTAACTCCTGGGCTCAAGCGATTCTCCTGCCTCTACCTCCCAAGTAGCTGGGACTACAGGCGCCTGCTACAAAGCCATCATTGTTGTTTTGGCGGGTCTGGGCTGGATTCAAACCAGCCAGCTCAGGTGTATGTGGCTGGTGCCTTAGCCGCTTAAGCCATAGGCACGGAGCCTATTTACTCTTTCATATAATGGAAAAATCGCTGAAAGATTTAAAAGCAAGCGAGTAAAGGGCGGCGCCCATAGCTCAGTGGGTAGAGCCCTGGTCACATACCCAGGCTGGTGGGTTCAAACCTGGCCCAGGCCAGCTAAGCAACAATGACAACTGCAAAATAGCGTTGTGGCAGGCGCCTGCAGAACCAGCTACTTGGGAGGCTGGGGCAAGAGAATCACTTAAGCCCAAGAGGTTTGAGGTTGCTGTGAGTTGTGACGCCACAGTACTCTACCAAAGATGACATAATGGGACTGTCTCAAAAAAAAAAAAAAGCAACAGAGTAGGGGCGAGGTACTATGGCTCACATCTGTAATCTGAACACTTTGGGAAGCAGAGACAGCAGGACTGCCAGGAGTTTGAGACCAGCCTGGGCAGCAGAGTAAGACCCCGCTCTACAAAAAAATAAAATAAATTAGCCAGGGATGGTGGCATGTACCTATACAGCCCCAGCCTACTCAAAAAGCTGAGGCAGGGTCGCTCTGCCCAGTAGTTTTAAGACTGCAGTGAGCTATAATCATGCCATTGCACTCCAGCATGGGTAACAGAGTGAGACCTTTTCTCAAAACAAACAAATAAAATAAAGGCCAAAGAGTGGTAAGAACTATGTAGGGCAAGAACAGAAGGAGGAAGACCAATTAGGAGTTACTGCTTTACATCAAGGGAAAAATAACAGCCAGCACTACAGTAGCAGCAGGCTGCATTCTCCAAGCCTCTGAGGTCTCCCTGAAAGGATCCCCTGCTCTCACTACACAAGTCTCTTCTTCTCATCCTTTAGTTCTCAGCTCAAATATCACTTACTCTGCACTATCAGGGAATTCTAACATAAATAACATCTCTCCCCATCCTCAGAGAAACCTGAACAACACTCATCACAATGTGTATTTCCTACTTCTTCACTTGACCAAAATCTCCATGAAGGCAAGAAACTGGTGTTTTGTTCACATCTACACACCCAGTGTCTAGCATAAGATACTCAAATATTAGCCATCTCAAGTAGACCCAGAGACAATACAGTGACTGACAGGAAAACTCTGGGGTGGGAAGAAATAATGAGAGACAGTAAGCAACTGACAGTTGACTAGCAGACCCAGTCTTGGTTCTTATTTTCCGTTCTGGAGTTCGCACTGATAGAAAATGAGAAATTGGTTTCTTTTGGCACACCTGGTCTGCAGTATACATTTCAAGAATTTCATCATTATTTATTTTTTTTTTATTTCAGTAGAGGGCCATGGCGTCAACAGCAACTCAAACTCCTGGGCGTAAGCCATTCTCTTGCCTCAGCCTCCCAAGTAGCTGGGACTATCGGTGCCCATCACAATGCCTGAGTATTTTTGCTGCTGTTGTTGTTGCAGTTGTCATTGTTTTTAGCTGGCCAGGGCCGATTTCAAACCCGTCAACCTCGGTGTATGTGGCTGGCACAGTAACCACTGTGCTATGGGCACCGAGCCATTCATCTTTATTTTGAAAGTGGTAGTAACTCAATAGAAAAGGAACAAGGGAAGCAAACAAGGTAAATCTGTATCAAATTCCTTAAAAAAAAAAATTAATGATCTATCCAGCCTGAAAAAAAATTTCTTCCTATCCATTCTATTAGTATGCAAAGGAGGATTTTAAAACACAAAATGTGCCCTGCTTCATAGAAAAAAAATTTACGCATGTGTATATCCACAAATGTCAGTTTGCCAAAATAAAGTAAAAATAGGTTAGAAATAGAATTTTAAAACATTAAAATGAGAACTCCAGTCTTCTTACTCAATGCGAGTTGAGAACAAACTCATGGTCTTAAAGAAATGAGTGAGCACACCCCAAAGCCATACCCTGGGCTCCATTATTAGCATCTGCTGCGTCTTCCACGCCAGCGTCATCTTCCTCCTCATTGTCCTCCTCCTCCTCTTCTGCCTGATCATCCTGTGCATCGGGGTTCTCCCCTACCACTGCATTCTCAGCTGGTGGGTTAGCAGGCTGATCAGCAGCAGCATTATCTGCACCATTTCCTCCTGCTGGAGCCTAAAATGACAGTAAAGACCCCGAAATTTGGATAACTTTTCTGTTTTGTTCTATTTCCAAGTCACGCTCTCCCTGCTAAAATAAAACCAGCAAATCATACCAAAATTTAAAAAAAACACACATACACCTTTCAAAGACATCTTTTCTAAATGTTACTGATTTCTTACCAACTTAGTACTTAAGAACATAAACTCACTTCACAATGAATAGTCATTTAGTACATATATTTTCGTGATTAACATAATTTATGTTAAATATATATTTAATTTATATACATTGTTAATATAAATATGTACATATATGTTTATACATGTTTAACATATATAAACTATATAATTTAGTCATTAACATTTCACCAAACATTATAAAAGTGAGAAGTACAAATCTGGCTACCTCAAATTTATATTTCTCATTTTTATTGACTGCCTCACAGATAAAAATATGTATTCTTTTTAAATTTATATATATATATATAACTTAATTCTCCACATAAAAACACTTGCATAAATGATTTTTAATTTTTGCTTAGTAGATAAGACTGTGATATGGACTTCATCAGTTGCCAAATGCATCTTCCTCAGGCTCTTCCTAAGTTCTGCCACCTACCAATGCAAAGACATAGCTGCAGTTAATTGTTAATAGTTATGTTAAAATACTTGACTCCAAAGGGGGTTAATGAGAAAGCTGCATTAATAGCTTCAGAATATAAGGTATCATGATAAAAGCATTAATACTCGATAATAATGGAGTCAATTTTTACGGTCTACTATCTATGCAAGTTCTTCAAAGAAGTTGAATTCTGTAAAGAAAAAGAAATCAGTTTCATCAAAGCACAATTTGATGAAATCGATGTACACATTGACAAAAGCAGCAGTTCCTAACAAGAAAAATTACATCAATAGGGCAGCGCCCGTAGCTCAGTCAGCAGGGCCCCACCACATGTACCTAGGGTGGTGAGGTCAAACCCAGCCCGGGCCTGCTAAGCAACAATGACAACCGCAACCAAAAAATAGCCCGGCTAATGTGGTGGGCACCTGTAGTCCCAGCTACTTGGAAGGCTGAGGCAAGAAAATAGCTTAAGCCCAAGAGTTTGAGGTTGCTTTGAGCTGTAATGGCACAGAACTCTACCCAGGGTGACAGCTTGAGACTCTGTCTCCAAAAAAAAAAAAAGAAAAGAAAGAAAAATTACATCAGTAATCATTTTTAGTATTTTATAAGCTATTTTTTCATGATGAAATTTTGTAAAGAATAAACTTTTTTATGCAAGTGGCTAATCTGTGATAATTTCAGCACCATAATTTCTCAGCAAGCAAGATACTAAAAATTACTAGATCCTCCTCTTCTGAATACCTCTTGTACCTTAGATGCCCTTGCTTACATTGTCCCTATATCTAAGCATATCATCACTCCTGAAGAAAAAATAAAACTGCACAAGACTATTATCAACAGTGTTCTAATATTTCTACTTCTAGTAATCCTCCAACTCTGGAGGAAAGACAAAGCGTTTTACTGATGGTACTAAGATACTGATAAACAAAGAGGTGGGGCAGCCTCCTTAACATTTATGCAGCATGTCAGAAACATATCCAGAAGTTCCTATCTTAACTTTCAGGCCCCAGTTAAGCAGTTAACCCAGGCAAAGAGAATGACAAGAGTATTTTATCCTACCCCCTAATATGGCTCCCAATCTAGCTAGAAAATTAAGAAGCAAATACACAATTTGATTTTTCACACCTCCATTAATATTCACCCAAACTTTTCCACTTTCCTCCTTTGAAACAGCAAAAGAATATTTATAGGGGACATGGGATCAAAGATTTGAATCTTAGAGGGAGACAATAATTTTCACGTACTACCCAAGAAAATCAACTGTGAAGGTGGGGCAGTTACCTCATTTTGGTGGTGCCCAGCAGCATTGAAGGGTGGAGCAGCGTGCTCCAACCAAATTGGTGCTCCCCCATGGACTATCTGCTCTCGCAACCACACCAGGCTGATGAATGCACACAGTGTGCATGTAACCACGAAACAACCCTGCAAACAATCTGCCAACAAATTTTCCCTATTAAAGAAAGAAATGACACATAATTACTCCAAAGAACACTTAAAAATCAAGAAACCAAAGGTTAACATTTTGTTTAACATGAAAACCTCAAGAAAAAGCCTCAGAAAGGTAAATCTTAATTTGGGGGATAAAAATCAATTTCTTCGAAAGAGTTACCTGTGATAATTCTATCTTATAAGCTCACTAATATATACATTTATGTATCTATATATGTATTATAGTGGACATAAAATAACATCAAACCTATACAGTAATGAGCTATCCGCAACCTGCTTTTTGAACATGGCCAAGAAAAAGGAAAGCAGCAAGCAACAAAGACAAAAACAGCCAAACACTCGACAAAGGAAAAGCATTCAATTTACATACTTTACTTAAACAACTCTGTCCAGACCTTACTAAAAATTTATCCACCCTTATTTTGCAGACAAGATTAAAAGCTTGATTAGCTGACACCTGAGCTCACATAAATTAAAGGAATCATCAAATCAGAACGTGCCTTCAGACAGTCCTAATGATAATATAAGAAATGAAGCCTGAGAGATACTCAGTATGCCATTGATAAGACAAGGAAGTCTAGAATACATTTTACAGAAAATTTTCACTTAGAAAACAAATCAAGTTTTGATGCTAACTGCAAGTATATAAAAGTATACTAGTTTCCCAACAAATCCAGAGGGCAAATTATGATTCTTCTAGTAACCACACATAAAAATACATATATAATACATGGAATACTGTAATACTGAAGACCCTCTTTTCTTTTTCCTTTCTGAACAGGTTTATCCTTTCCTAGTCCATGTCTACGATTTCAGAATAATTCAGGAATAACTCAAATATCTTTAGCCTTTGGAAAATCCATTATTTTAATGAAATGACTTTCTTCCTCCATGAAAAACCTATGGAAGGGTTAATCTGGTAAACCTCAGCCTAGCACCTCCAAACTTAAAACTGGAATGGCCCTCATACGATATTACATGCAATATAGCCTAAATCATAAGGGGTATCCTAACTACCCACTTACTAAGGAATCCTCTGAGACCATTACATTTTGACATGCTCTCTACTCCTTCCTTGACATCAGCAATGAAGAAAATAGCTGCTTGTTACAGATTTTAAATGGTGACAAACTCAGCCAGGTACAGTAGCTCACACTTGTAACCCTAGCACTCTGGGAGACCGAGGAGAGTTGGGGGGTTGCTTGAGCTTCGGAGTTCGAGATCAACCTGAGCAAAGGTTAGACTCCATCTTTACTAAAAAATCGAAAAATTAGCCAGTGTATGGCATGCACCTGGAGTTCCAATTACCAGGGAGACTGAAGTAGGAGGACCACTTGAGCCCAGGAATGAGAGATTGCAGTGAGCTACAATGATGCCACTGTACTCTACCCAGGGCTACAGAGTGAGACTCTGTCATAAATAAATAAATCAAATGACAAGCTCTAGAGTTTTTTCCCCAAGCTTTCAATCTGAGGTTTTGTAAATTGCCTATAATGTTACCCAAGCTCCAGAGCCCAGAAGAGGACTTTCAAGCTTCCACTCTTATCCCTGAGACTACCATGTAAAAAAGCCCTCTATCCTTCTGAAAGATGAGAGGTCATGTAGGGGAGACCCAAGACACCTTAGCTGAAACCATCTTACACCGTTAAGTCCTTGTAAAACATCTTAGTGACCTATGCAAGCCTAATAGATGAACAGCTCAGCTAAGCCCAGCCCAAATTGCTGACCCCCAGAATTAAAAGCAAATAAAACGGTGATTGTTCAAGCCACTAAGTTTTGGGACAGTGTTTTTCATTTTTTGTATCAATAGCTAGTTGATATGGTGCACTCTGATATGATCCCAATTATTGAACTATAGAACTTAGCAACTGCTAATATATTAAAACTTAAAAGTAAAATTATCCCACCCCACCCCCAAAAAAGTATTCTATACTGAATAAAAAACATTACTCTGAAAAAAAGTAGTTGAGTTGGGGTGGCACCTGTGGCTCAGTGAGTAGGGCACCGGCCCCATATACCCAGGATGGCAGGTTTGAACCCAGCCCCAGCCAAACTACAACAAAAATAGCTGAGCATTGGGGCCAACGCCTGTAATCCCAGCTACTCAGGAAGCTGAAGCAAGAGAATCACCTAAGCCCAAGAGCTGGAGGTTGCTGTGAGCTGTGACACCACAGCACTCTACTGAGGGTGACAAAGTGAAATGCTATCTCAAAAAAAAGTTGGCAGCACCTGTGGCTCAAAGGAGTAGGGCACCAGGCCCATAAGCCGGGGGTGGCAGGTTCAAACCCAGCCCCCACCAAAAACTGCAAAAAAAAAAAAAAAAGTAGTTGAGTTACAACTGCATTCAGAAAAAAACCAAGTCAATTTTTCAAATTGTAAAAGGGCAGCATTTGTTACAAAACCAAGCAATATCCAAATGCACAATTTCTTTTCACTATTCCCACTGGGCCTCCAGGATTTCTCTGGTTTCAATGAGTAGTCTTTTTTTTTTTTTTGAGAACAGAGTCTCACCCAAGTAGCCCCTGGTAGAGTACTGTGTCATCATAGCTCACAGCAGCCCAAAACTCTTGGGCTCAAGTGATCCTCCCACTTCAGCTTTCTAAGCAGCTGGAATTACAGGCACCTGCCCAGCTAGTTTTAAAGACAGGAATCTCGCTCTTGCTCAGGCTGTTCTAAAACTCCTAAGCTCAAGCAATCCACCCACCTCAGCCTCTCAGAATGCTACGATAATAAGTGTGAGCCACTGCACCTGGCCTAATGAGTAGACAATTCAGGTGGCCCATAAGCCAATCAAGTCAGAGAGAAAAGGGGAGCCTGACAACATAAGGAAAGCAATAATGAACAATATCAAAATAAGATACAGTAAAACAGCTACAATGAACAAGTTTTTATCATCTACAGTCTAATAGCCACAAGAAACATTTTAAAAATAAATGTCAGTTCAAGTATATGTGTTAAAAACACCAAGTTTAAAAGAACTTTCAGCATACAAACACAGTACAGTAGTATATCTCAAACTGCATGACAGCCAACCAGTCATCCCACCATTACAAAACAGTCCTTTAAAACAGGTACACTGTAAAAGTAACGACAACTACATTTATTAGTTACTTCCACTACATGTAGCTACAAATAATAGGAAACATAAATTATTTTCCTCAAAATAGAAAAAGAATCTTCAAATTGTAACAAAATTGTGAAGAAAAAAACTAAGCCTTATAGTATCTACCTTGTGCAATCTTCATGGTCACACAAGTTCAATACTCACGTGGATAACATGTCTAGCGGCAGTGTCAGTAGTGAGCTCACGGAGCCAGTAAACAAGCACTTGTAGATGCGGCCTACCAAAAAAGAGAAAACAATCTCAAGCAAAGATCTCCAAACTTATGGAGAATTTTTTCCAATTTGCAATTCCAGAATTCATTACATCTACTCATGAAAATAAAGAGTCTCAGTTCTGGAGGTAAACATCTTTACAATTAGGAAAAATTTTCAGGAAAGTATATTGCAATGCCACCAATGGCTGACAATATTTTTTAAAGCATACATTTAAGGGTCCTCTAATAGAGAATATCCTTATTCTAAATTCTTAGAATATATTATCCTACATTCTGGTGGTTGAAGAAAAAGATGAAATATGGGTGAATGCACTGCCCTCCCCTTATCCTCTTAGTCAGAAAAGGCAGAATGGCTTTTAGACAGGCAGAATTCTAGATAGGATGAGATAATAGGCCACAGATCTGAAAATGGGGCACAAAAAGCTGAGATTTTTCAGGCAGTGCCTATGGCTCAGTGAGTAGGGCACCAGCCACATACACCAAAGGTGGCGGGTTCAAGCCTGGCCTGGGGCCTGCTAAACACCAATGACAACTGCAACCAAAAAGTAGCCAAGCCTTGTGGTAGGCACCTACAGTCCCAGCTACTCGGGAGGCTGAGGCAAGAGAATCGCTTAAACCCAACAGTTTGAGGTTGCTGTGAGCTGTGATGTCACAGCATTCTACTTAGGGCAACACAGTGAGACTTTGTCTCAAAAAAAAAAAAAAAGAAAGAAAGAAAGAAAGAAAGATGAGTCTTCCAATTATCCAAGACCATGACATATGTAGTATTTTTTAAAGGGAGTTGGGGAATCCCAAAATAATACATATTTTGCAGTTCTTGAAAGCTCTAGTATAATTCAAAAAATAAAATCTGATTTTCTTCTAATTATGGTTTCATTTTGCTATTTCTATTCTTTCATGAACTTTTATAATTAGTCCCTCTGTATTTTTCTTTCCCACATTCATTCAAGAAACTGATCTGGCTCAGCGCCTGTGGCTCAAGTGGCTAAGGCGCCAGCCATGTACACCCAAGGTGACGGGTTCGAATCCAGCCCGGGCCCACCAAACAACAATGTCGGCTGCAACCAAAAAATAGCCGGGCTTTGTGGCGGGCGCCTGTGGTCCCAGCTACTTGGGAGGTGGAGGCAGGGAACTCGCTTGAGCCCAGGAGTTGGAGGTTGCTGTGAGCTGAGATGCCACGGCACTCTACCCAGGGGGACAGCTTGAGGCTCCTGTCTCAAAAAAAAAAAAAAAAAGAAACTGATCTATTAAAAAAATCAATCTTAGTTCAGATGAATGTTTTCTAAATGAGGCTTTCCTAGCATGACATTAAAATATCAAATAATTAAACATCATTCAAACAATATAATTAAACATCATTCAAACAATAATATGATACAGTATTACTTTATAACATTAAATAGTTACAGAGTATTTCAGTAAGTCCAACCAGAGGCCTGAATACTCACATGCTGTAAGAGGAACAACTCCCAACCATGCAAAGGCCACAAGTGTATAATGAAACCAGTATCTTATTGCAGTACCAATACTTGTAACCAGGCCAGCAAATATGTCTTGAATTGGAAGCCGTGAAGGCATATCTGGGGAATAAACTATAAAAGGAGAGAATTACATATAATTTTACGAAGATTCAAAAATAGCTTAACTCAAAATAGGCATGAATTAAACTTTTGACATTTTTATTTGGCTTAATTTTTTACCTATTAAAAACAATGAATCAAGTAGTACAATACTATCACATTTACCTAAGAAACAATTTATGAGACAAACCTCCTGTGAAATATGGAAATTAACCCAAAAAGAGGCCTCTGAATAGGAAAAAAGATTACTTCACATCCTTCACTTATAATGAACTTCATACCAAAGTTATTTACACATATTTTAGCATTCAAGCAGTATAATTATCTGATTTCCCAAATTACCAAAAACCTAATAAAACAAATAGAACAAAAAGAAGCAGCTGATTACATTATCAATAAAGAACTCCCATAGCCAGGCGTTGTGGCAGGCGCCTATAGTCCCAGCTACTCAGGAGGCTGAGGCAACAGAATTGCCTAAGCCCAAGAGTTGGAGGTTGCAGTGAGCTGTGTGATGCCACAGCACTCTACCAAGGGCAATAAAGTAAGACTCTGTCTCTACAAAAAAAAAAAAGAACGCCCCCCCAAATACAAGCATTAGACACAGCACTCAAAAAGCATGATAATCTTCAGCAAAACCATTTCACATGGGAGCAAACAACCCAATGACATTTGTCAGCCACCCTCCCAATTTTAACATAATACTTAAAATTTAAAATGATAAATCCAGAGCTTCCTACTTCTCTGTAAAATGTGTCCAGTTCAGCACACTCAGAAAAAGAGGTTTTACCACATTTTAGAAAGACTTCTTTTTAAAATGGTTCCCTTAAAGGCTACTGCTTATTAAAAAGCTCCGCTTTAAGTAACTCAGAACATACAGGAAGAATAACTTTCTCCAATGAAGCCTAAATAAGGAATTATGATATACAAGGGTTTTTTTGTTTGTTTGTTTCTTTTGAGACAGAGTCTCAAGCTGTCACCCTGGGTAGAGTGGTGTGACATCATAGCTCACAGCAGCAACCTCCAACTCCTGGGCTCAAGCAATTCTCCTGTCTCCACCTCCCAAGTAGCTGGGACTACAGGTGCCTGCCACAACATCTGGCTATTTTTTGGTTGCAGCCGTCGTTGCTGTTTGGCAGCCCAGGCTGGATTCGAACCCGCCAGCTCAGGTGTATGTGGCTGGTACCTTAGCCACTTGAGCCACAGGCACCGAGCCTGTTTTTTTTAAGACAGAGTCTCACTTTGTTGCCCTTGGTAGAGTGCTGTGGCATCATAGCTCACAGCAACCTTAACTCTTAGGCTCAAGCAATTCTCAAGTAGCTGGGACTACAGATGCCTGTCACAATGCCTGACTATTTTTAGAGATGGGAGCCTCGCTCTGGCTCAGCCTGGTCTCAAATCTGTGAGCTCAGGCAATACACCGGCCTCAGCCTTCCACAGTGCTAGAATTACAGGTGTGAGCCATCATGCCAGGCCCCAATATGCAAGGTTATAAAACCAATGATCTAAAATTTCTGAGAGCACTATCACACAACTGTTAATACCTATGAATGATAAAGAAAAAAGAATCAATAGCAACTTTTTATAATATACCCAGAGCACTGACTTCAATAGATAATAGGTATACAAGAGCAAGTCATTAAACCAATAGTAGTTTTTGAGAAAGATGAAGGAAAGAGATATCAAATGAAAACTAAAATAACAAAGAACAACCTTTTACTGGCCTTGAAGTAAAAGCCCATGAGTATTTCCCATCAATTACAGTTCATGAAGATGTTCAACTCTTCTGTCTTAGTTTTCTTTTTTTTGTTTTGTTTTTTGAGACAGAGCCTCAAGCTGTCACCCTGGGTAGAGTGCTATGGCATCACAGCTCACAGCAACCTCCAACTCCTGGGCTCAAGCGAGTCTCCTGCCTCAGCCTCCCAAGTAGCTGGGACCACAGGTGCCCGCCACAACGCCCGGCTATTTTTGGTTGCAGCCGTCATTGTTGTTTGGCAGGCCCGGGCTGGATTCAAACCTGCCACCTTAGGTGTATGTGGCTGGCGCCTTAGCCACTTGAGCCACAGGCACCGAGCCAGTCTTAGTTTTCTATAAACCATAACAAGTTATAAAGTTTTTATGTGTTACAGAAAATTAAAGACCACAAAAGAGAATCAACATTTTTGATGATTATAAAACTCAAAAAGTAAAAACGTAGTAACTTTAATAATTTATACTCATCAAATAAAAAACAAACTAAAACTAATACTAATTTACATCAGTTATATTAAGTAGCTCAAGATGCTTTCCAAAAAGAACTAAAACACAAAATCCCTTTTTTTTGGTCATTTATTATTATTATTATCATTATTTTTTGCAGTTTTTTTGGCCAGGGCTGGGTTTGAACCCACCACCTCCAGCATATGGGACTGGTGCCCTACTCCTTTGAGCCACAGGTGCCATACCACAAAAACCCTTTGTTGGAGAAGACAATGTACTGCGATCTCAAAATGAAAAATTATGCTCTGAATTTTTAAAAATGTATCAGTAAATCCTCTACTTAACTAAGATGAATGATACTATGTATAATTAATAAGCATAGGAATTATAATTAAGATTTTAAAGACCTGCAAACAGCAGAAGCTTCAGAAATACTGAACTTGAAAAGTTACTCTCATGGGAAAAAAGATAATCTAAAGCTTAGTTGAGTTGTTGGGGTTTTTTTTGTTTATTTGTTTGTTTTGCAGTTTTTGGCCTCCAGCATATGGGGCCGCCCCCGACTCCTTTGAGCCACAGGAGTTATGATTTTAAATCATAACGCCCAAAAACTTAGTTTTTATTATTATTCTAACCTATACAATTCTAACTGAAAAACAGTCTGAATTTGAACATTATTAAATATTCGATGAAATCACAGCATCATTGTTCATTTTTCTAAGTAGATAATGGTATTATATTTGTTTTTAAAAGAGAATGCTTACTTTTTAGAGATACATAGTGAAATATGTACAGGTAAAATTATAAATGGTGGGAATTGTTTTAAAAAGAATTGAGAATAAAACAGAAAGGAGAGGTGGAGAATGGGAACATAAGTAAAATAAGATAGGCCCTGCATTGAAATTAATAATCAGTACATGAGACTCATATCCACTATACCTTTATATTATATTTGAACTTGTCTGCAATTACAAGTAAAAACAAAAACAAAACCCTACAAATTAAATCTCAGACACACACATATGTGTGTTAAAAGAGGACATGTAATTTTTAAAACGCTTTCCTATACTTCCTGTTACAACCAAAGATAACTTGAAAATACGTGTAGTTGCTTTCAAACTCTTAAACACCTTAATGCAGCCAGTAATAACAAAGAAAATTCAGTGAAAACCTGTAAAGAACTTACTTGGTGTGAAAGCAAATCTGTGCTTGCATAATTCACAGTATTCTTTTCGACTGTGTTTCAGCCACTGAACTAAGCTGTAAGTACAAATACACTCATAAGCACAGGATTTACAACAAAGAAACATTAAGGTTTCACTAAAAACTAATGTTCTGATTTTATTAAAACTTTACCTATCACAGCAGTACCCTGAACACCATAAATGCATCAATGTACAAAGTTATGATTTAATAAAAAATAGTTATAAAAAAAAATAAAATAAATAAAACTTTACCTATCACAGAGCTTTTACAATTTCAATTTATTTCAAATTTAGAGTGTACTTAACATTTATAACTGCCATCTAAGAGTACAGAACTCCAACGGTTAAAGATTTTTAAAACTGTTATTTCTAGTATTAACACAGTTCTATTAATCTAAGTTGTAATCTCAAATCAACAAATGAATATGAAAGAAATCTCTAAGCATTAGTTCCAACACTGGGTCTGAATCCTGGTTCTGCCATCAACTGACTGGCTGTGTGGCCTAAGACAATCTTTCTAAGCTTCAGTTTTCTCACCTGCATAACAATACTACTCCACTTCACAGTTTTCTTGTAAAGATTAAATGAGTTAAGATGTGTAAAGCATTAAGAATAGTTCTTGGCACAAAGTACTTTATAAATGTAAGCTATTATTATATCAAGAAAAACTAGAAATCTGTAACACTTTCAATGGACAAAATAAGCTCTCCATTATAAAGTATTCAAAAGCATCTGAAAAATAGTATATTGAAAAAACAGGCATGATATTAAAAATTATGGAAAATTTCTTTTACAAATATTTGAATTTTTACAATAAAGGTTTTAAAAATAATTATAGATAAAATTCAAAGTATCACTTACCATTCTTGATGTATAAACTTAATACTGCCAGTACATACACAAGGATGATAAAGAGGTTTCTCAGGTGTTCCTTCTGACCGACACACTCTACATATGTCTGTTAATGAAAAATAAAAACTGAATTTCTTTTGGTCATAACTTTTATAGCAGACAACCCAAAACTAAAATATTGCACATTAAAGCAAGAATCTATCACATGACAAAATATTAATCAGCAGTATGGAAAACTTAAAATTGTGATTAAGATATGTGAGTAGACAAAGGGTATCAAAACAATGTATAAAAAAAAGTATACACATTTTAAGAAAGAAAAAAACTATTAAATGGCAATACTCAAGTCACATTTGACTCCTGCAGTTACAAGATAATGAATGTTAATTGGTATATGCTGAATATAACAATTTTAATACAGATTTTTCCTTTCTTAAAATGTATATATATATATTTTTGGCACCCTCTGTACACCTGAAACTAAAAAATATCCTACATAGGTCACAAGCAGTGGCTCACATGTAATCCCTAGCACTTTGGGAAATGAAGCTAGAGAATCGCTTATAGCTAGGAGGTCAAGACCAGTTCTCTATAGAACTTTTTGAAAAATTAGCCCGTATGATGGCATGCACTTGTAGTCCCAGCTACTTTGAATGCTGAGGCAGGACTGCTTGAGCCCGGACCAGACATTGGAGGCTACAGTGAGCTATGATGATGCCAAAGCACTTTAGCCCTGGCTACAAAGTGAGATACCATCTTTAAAAAAGAAAAAAAAAAATCCTACAAAATTTATTAAAAGGTAGTTGTTCCTCTGAATATGAGCTCTATATAAATAAACCCAAGTTGAAAATAACAGAACAGTTGGTTTTATTTAAAACTATATTCTCCTGGCTTGGCGCCCATAGCTTAGTGGTTAAGGCGCCAACCACATAAACCTGGAGCTAGCGGGTTCAAGCCCAGCCCAGGCCTGCTAAAAAACAACAATGACAACTGCAACAAAAAAAGCAGCCAGACATTGTGGCAGGCACCTGTAATCCCAGCTACTTGGGAGGCTAAGGCAAGAGAACTGTTTGAGCTCAAGAGTTGGAGGTTGCTGTGAGCTGTAACACCACAGCACTCTACCGAGGGTGACATAGTGAGACTTTGTCTCAAATTAAAACAACAAAAAAAAATTACATTATCCTATTACTAAACAAATACTTAACAGAAATATGCAAATCAGGTCGCCATTTGGTGTGTTGTTTTTTAGGACAAGGCCTTGCTCTACCACCCAGGCTGCAGTACAATAAGCCCTAACTCAGCACTCCACAGCGTCAAACTCCAGGGCTCAAGCAATCCACCCCTTCAGGCCACCCCCCCCCCTCCGGACTACTGGTATTACAGGAATGAGCCACCATGCCCACTCAGTGCTACCACATTTTTAAACTCCAGCCTTGTAAGTTTAACTGTTAGAAGTCCTAACAGTTTAAACACCCCCCCCCCAAAATCTGATGACTTAACAATGTAACAGTAGTAGATGGATACAATAAACAGAACTTTAAGCATCAACTGCCCCTAAAAGAACCAGAGCTATAAAGCCACCATGGATGCACAAATAGGTAATATCAGGATTCAGAGGGAGGGAAGATCCCAAAGCCACAATCCTGTCAGGCCACATAAAGGTGAGCCAGAGGCTGCCTTAAACAGATGGGACTGAGCAGAGCTGAGTGGTCCACAGCCCGAGGACCACAGCCTGCCCCTCATACCCAGTACCAAGTAGCATTAATGGCACATCTTTCTTGCTACCAGGAGTGGTCCACAGTGACCTGTAACACAGTGCTATGAAGGAACCCCAGGAATCCCAACTGATCCTTCATGCTAACAAATGATCCTTCCCACATGCACTCACTTGGCTCCTTAAAGCTTCTCCACAGTCTACTTAGGGAAACCTGGTTACAACTTTCATGTAGGGGATCTCAGCTACTGGTCAGGGTCAAGCGCCAATCCCAAATGGCCACTGCGCAAGGAGGGGCATGATGAGTACGGGCAGTATGAACAAGGAGCAAGGAAGTGAATTAATGCAGGCTTTTGACCTCCTTTCTTAGAGGGAATTCCTCATTAATGAAAAATAACTGCAAGGGGAAGGGGAGAGCAGAGAGAGGAAAGAGGAGGGAGAAAAGGGGAAGGGAACAGCAGAGAGAGGGAAAGAGGGAGAGAGGTGGGGTCTCGGTGTGTGCCACTCCTTTTGGGGGCAAGACACAATTGTAAGAGGGACTTTACCTAATAAATGCAAGCAGTGAAACCTGGTTTCTTGTACCTTCAATGAATCCCCAACAATAAATTAAAAAAAGAAAAGAAAAGAAAAGAAAAATAACTGCAATTCTGAACCCCATCACTAACACTTTAATGGATGTGAGTCCCTAATTGGCTGGCTGCTCAATCTCTGGTATCTGAGTGCCACTTGTCTAAACTGAAAGATACTGAGCATTCAGTGACACCTACTAACCAGTCATCAATTAACCAGGCAAATCTCTCCATCTACCCAGAAAAGTCAGGCACCCCCACCCATGGAAGAGCAATCAATGGGTCAATTCTGTCCATGCTGGAGCCTGGAGAGGTTGCCTATGTTGAGTCAAATTAATTATAGATGCCACTGCAGGTGCCTCAATTTCATCTTTGGAACTAGAAGCTTCCCAGACCACCATCTGAAGGGCTTTTGCCAGTTTATTATAGGCATAATGTCAGAGTCAGCAGCATTATTATCATCAGGGGTCCTCAAACTTTTTAAACAGGGGGCCAGTTCACTGTCCCTCAGACAGCTGGAGGGCCAGACTGTGGTCCCCCAGATGAGTCGGCTGCTAAGCAGGATAGGCAGCGGCAGCAAAAATACCCAGTGGGATGATAAATGTCCTAGGCGGGCCACATGTGGCCTGAGGGCCATAGTTTGAGGACACCTGTCATATATGGCCAGAATTATATGGGAACCTGAACCTCTTTAAACTTCCCACTTTCACCTTCATCCTTGAAAAATGAAAACATCCTTGGCAAAAGGTTTTCACTCTGGCCCAAGATCTGACTTCTAGTGGCTCAATACTGACAACCTAATCATCTTGCTTAATCAGTTTCCCCAAAGTTCCGACATAAACAAAATAGAACCACACTCTCATTCCATCATCCCACCAGTGGTATCCAGGTAGCCCTCACCCACTTTGAAACACTTAATTTTCTCCAAATACACGCTTCAGCCCCCAGGGAAATGGCTAAGAGCTTAAGACACCTAGACGCAAGGGGTAGGAACTGCCTCACAGCCAACCTCTTTGCACCAAATTCAATACATGGCACTGAAATAGGCTACCAGCACCAGACGTGCCCTGCAACTGATCCTCCTTAAAGGACTTAAACAGACCCATTCCAATTATAGGGCTTGAAGAGTGCTGTTGTTTTTATCACCACTACCCTCCCAATTTGGCAGCAGGTAATTTGCGCACCTGCTGCCTTCCTTGAATGAGGTATTATTTTATCAGAAAAACTGAATGAAACCAAGTTTCTTCACTACCAAGATTCCCAGTCACTGTGGTTGCCCTGACAGGCACTGGGACTGCCATCTAACAGTGCCACAGGGGCATGCGATCACTCTAGGTTACCTAGAATCACCAAGACCGCTGGCTACGATTTAAGTAGCTGAATCACCACAAGAGTACTTAGATGCCTGTGGATTAATTTTTGAGACCAGGAAGTGCTACTATAGGGTCTACCAGGTAGGATGGGGGTGAATGCTTGGTAGACAAGTGCCAGAGGGTCCAGTCTCCCCAGACCACCCTCCACTGTAGAAATAGCAGTGGGGTGCAGCACCTACAATGTGGCAAAAGGACATCATGCATCTCAGGACAGCAAGCACACAGCCACACTCAGATGAACAAGAGTTGCCACATTGCCCTCAGGGAACAAGGTGATTGGCTGGCCACCAAATATGAACTGAGGTAGGGCAAGGATAGCTTTTATTGGTACCCCCACTGCCTGTGAGATGCAAGGACAATAAGAGGAGCCATATCCATCTGGCTGGTTGGTAACTTGGTAGGTTTATTCCACGTTGCAGACCTCCCCCAGCTAGGCCACATTAGGTGACTTAACACCAGATGGCCTGAGAAAGCACCAGGAGAGAGCAAAGCAGCAGCAAATTACAAAAAGCACTCACCCACATAAGGAATGCTCACTCACTCCAAGGATCAAGGGAGATAGCCAGTGGGCAAATAATCAAACTGGGGGTGGGGATACAGGACAAAAATGCCAGAGAGATGGAGACACACATGCATTAGACAGGACAGTGATTTTCAGAAGATTTCTGCCCTTCTGAACACAAAACCAACACAATACAAAGCAAACACAACTCTAAAATCAAGCCCTGGAGCTCTGGTTGACCTAGAGGAGAGAAATGGGATACCTGTGGTCCACTCAGAGACTGTAAGATCAAAACTATTTTCATAACTTCTATTCACATTGTCTTTGACACTTTACAGTGTTTTCTAGAGCCTATACAAAAGAATGAAAGTAGGCACAGACCAAAAAAATCCAACTGCTTCCCATTAAACCAGATATTAAAGAGATTGACAAATATAAAATTAATCCACTTTTGGAATATATTATTTTCCTTGAAAATACTATTTATAATAGCACATGATGAGGTATTATTTTTTAAGTGATTAACAAATACTTTTTTTTTTTTT